CGGGTTTGCAGGGGTTGGAGTCTGGTTCCCACCCCTTTAGACTCTTCCCATTCCATAGTCCCTGCCCTTTTAAGTGGCCTCACCCTCTGGCTGATCCCCAAGCAGGCCATGCCCCCTCTCTCAGCCTATCCACTGCCACCTGTTTGGCCCTGCCCATTTCTGCAAGTCCCCTTTCTCCTTGTCTGTCACTGCCTCTGGCCCCACCCCCTTACAGACCCAGTGGTCCATCACCAGCCCTCCCTGCCCCTTGCTGGCCTCAGATGTTTGTCAGCCCCTCACCCTATTGTCCATCAGAGACCATTGTCCCGCCCTTTCCCCTAGACCCCACCCCTCCCAGCCTGAGCTGTCTGTCACAGACACTGGTCCTGCACCTTTCCCCAAGCCCTGGCCCTTTTCTACCCCAGCAGGCCATCATGATCCCTAGTCCACCTTGGATCCTGCCCTGTGGGCTCCAGCTGTCTGTCACTGCCTCTGGCTCCATGTCATCCTCAAGCCCCACCCCTCCCAAACCCAGTTGTCTGTCATAGCCCTTGGCCCCACTCCCTCCAGGCCCCAGCTGTCATTCACTGACCCCCACCTCTGACCCCTGGTAGTCGAACACTGGGAGCCCTCAGTCACAAGCTCCTCGGGCAGCTGAGTTGTCAGAGGATGAGGCAGCAGAGCTGTTCCAGCGCTTGGCGGAGACACAACAACAGAAGTGGCTGCTGGAGGAAAAGGTGGGGGCTGCTGTTTGGGAGTGAGGGGCACCAATATGGAGGTGGCTGCTGGGAGTGAGGGGCAAGTGTGGCACAGGGCCTGGTTTGACCCATGATTGCCTGAACCAGGTGAAGCACCTGGAGGTGAGCAGTGCCTCCATGGCTGAGGATCTGTGCCGCAAAAGCACCATCATCGAGACCTATGTAATGGACAGCCGCATTGGTGAGGACCCAGGCGTCTGGGCAGGGAGTGTGGGGCACTATGGGGCTATAGGGGGGACTATGGGTAGGAAACAAGGGGTACCACAGGCCTGGGTTGGGAAACTTCCCCCCCCACACACACACACATCTCCTCTTCCATTGATCAGCCCTGGCTCCTACTGCAGAGGTCACCTTGGGCTGGGCACCCAGCCAGCCTTCACACTCATCCGGGCGGCTCTGGCACCCAGCCTGGATGGAAGACCAGGTCTGGCTGCTGGGTTGGGGGGACAGGGTTTGGTGTTGGTGAAGCTGTGAGGCTTATGGCATTATAGCCAAGCATAACAGCACAAGGAGGGCCCAGATGCAGCCAGATGTAGGGTGGGGCAGCTGTTAACAGGCAAATATAACAAGGCTTAGATAGGGATAAGATTCAGCCAGCTCTGGGGTGGGATGGCTGGGAACAGCAGAGTATAACAGAGCACAAGAGAAGTTGAGATGCACCCAGATCTGGGGTGGGGCAGCTGGGGAATGGCTGGGTATAACAGGGTACAGAGAGGGCTGAGATGCTCCCAGCTCTGGGGTGGAATGGCCTGGTGGTTGCTAGTGGTGCCCTGTGGCTCTGGCCCAGCTTCCCCAGCACATCGTGAATAATTCATGAACTTAAAAATAACCTCCCCCTTGCTCCAGGTTGGCTTGTCTTTCCCTGTCATTGCCCAGGAAAGGACCCAGGCTTCTTGGCTCTCACCCTCTAGCCTAGGCTCCCCAGCCAGAAAACCCAGGTGTCCAGGCTCTCAGCCCCACCTCAACACTCCTTCATGCTCTAAACCAGTAGAGTGGGGGATGGGAGCCCGATGCCAGGGTTGTCTGGGAGGGGAGGAAGGGTTTGTGGGGTGAAACAGATAATAGTGGGGTGGGGCCAATTGGAGCCTGGAGGGGTGGAGCCGGTGGGTGGAGATGTTGCAGGTCCCCAGGGGTCAGGCCAAAGCTGATTCGTCCTTCCCATACTCTTGTCATGTGTGTCCTATCTTGCTGACGTGGCTTAGGGTGGGGTTGGAGCAGGGGCTGGGCATGGTGCTCTCATGTTGGCATGGTGCAACAGTGTCCTGTGCTTCTGATGGGGTGGGACTGAATGCAGTATTGACACGGTGATGTGTGGGTAGCATGTTGCTGACTTTTGCATCCTGTGGCTAACATGTTTCTGGCATGTTACAGATGGATCACAAGGGCTAGAGCAGGGCCCGGGCGCAGTGTTTGCATGTGGCTGAAGTGGCTCTGGCATGTGCACTGTGTGGCTGAGATGTTAGGGCAGGGCAGAGCTGGGCGTGGTACTGGTGCATGCCTGATGCATGGCCTGTTGCAGATGTGTCGCGGGCCCCAGATGGGGCAGGGCCAGAGCGCAGGCTGGGCGCAGCGCTGCGGGAGCTAGTGCGCCCAGGGGCTGATGAAAACCTGCGCGAGATGAACAAGAAGCTGCAGAACCTGCTGGAGGAGCAGCTTACCAAGAACTTGCACCTCAGTCAGGTGGGTTGGGCTGGAGGCAGGGCCAAGAGGAAGGGGATGGGGCAAAGGGGACTACAGGGGCCCAGTGGAGCAGCTCACCAAAACCTGCAGCTCAGCTCACTGGGCGGGGCCTGTGTGGGTGTGGGTGGGGCCAGGGTTGAGGGGAGAGGTGGGGTTGTACTCTGCTGTTCCCCAGCAGCTTCACACCTGAGGTGGGCACACCTGGTGGGTGGGTGTGTCCCCCAGATGCCTGTGTTCGGTGTGTGCGCGCCCCGGACACCAGAGTTCTGCGCATGTGCGCATCTGTGTGTCAGATGCCTGGGTTCTGTGTGGGGGGGGTGCGCCCACGTGTATCCCGGATGCTGGAATTCCATACGCGTGTGTGCGCGTGTCCCAGACGCTGGAGGGGTTTGCACCATTGTTGGCCACAGGTCATGGAGGTGTAGTGATGCCTTTGTCTTGCTGTAGGGTTTCCCTGCTTCTGGGCTTTGGCTGCTACTGCCCACCCCCATTTTTTCCTCCCCCTGCTGTCAGGGTGGTTTAAACCTCCCCAGAGGCACTGGGTGTACAGACAAGGCTGGGGACTTCGACTGGGTTGAGCCAGTGCCCCAGCTGGAAGCAAAGCCAGTCAGTCCTGGCTGGAGGGTCTTGCCCTTCTGCTCAGGGTCAGACCGATCACCAGATTGGAGGTTAGGAAGGAATTGTTTCCCCCCCGGTCAGATTGGTGCAGACTGGGGGGATTCTGCTCTTTCATAGAAGCAGGATGCTGGCTCTCCCTGTGGATCTGCACTGTTAGGGCTGAGGGGGCGTCTTCACGTAGGATTTAGATTGGATTGTATGGGATGACCTGGGGCAGGCGGCCCCTGCCATAGGCAGGGACTTGGACTCCACCACCTCTGGAGGTCCCTTCCAGCGTGCATCTGAGTGTGTGTGCGTGTGTCCGTCCCCCTGGACACCTGGGTCCTTACCCCTCCCTCTCTCTCCCCACCCAGGACCTGGAAGTGCTCTCCCAGGAGCTCGTCCGGCTCAGCAAAGGGCCCTCCCCCAGCCCAGACCCCCCAGAATGATCTCCCCAACCACAAGGGGTAGGGGCAGGGCCTGTGCCTGGGGTAGAGCCTATCAGGGGGCAGAGCCTGCCTGCCTTGCACTTCTCACCACCTCCCTTTTTTGGTATTCCCCCCCCCCCCAATGCTCTGCCCCCTTTCCAGGAATGTATATATTTGCATATCAGTATTGGGGGGAGGTTTTACCCCTTCATGTCCTGGGTGGCCCCTTCCCCTCTCATTAGCATGACTCTGCCCCTTCACTGCTTCTGTACAAATGGCCTGGGTTATAATATGGTAATTATGTAATGAGCTCCCTGACCCACCTTCTGTGTTTTACCTCAGAGAAGTTCTCACCCCAGCAGATGTATCTGTATCTGGGGGGTGTTTCTCAGCCCAGGGGAGGGAATTCTCTTGATTACTGCACTTTCTCTGCCCCTCCCCCACCCTCCAAAGATGGGGGTCTTGACTGGGGGGAGGGGCCTGGCCCCAATTTCTTCTGTCTCTTGTGTCTTGATAAAGCTTCACAGCCTGAAACTGCTGCTGGCTCTGTGTCTCTTTGTTGGGGGAAGGATTGAGGCTTTCTGCTGTGTTATTCCCCCCCAGAGCTGACCACATTCTGGCCTGTTTTACCAGTTATTCCTCCCCCCTCCCCAGCTGGGTGCAGCCCAGCTCTTTGGATGTCATTGTTTCCCCGGTGTTCCACCCCAGAGCTGACATCGTGGCCTGCTCTATTCAGTTGTTCCCCCCAGAGCTGGCCATGGCCCAGCCTGTTTTACTCTGCCATTCCTCAGCCATTCTGCCCCAGAGCCAGGTGTATCTTGGCTCTTCCAGCTGCCACCACCTTTGCCCCAAGGTACACTGGCAAATGAAGAAGGAACCTAGGAGTCTGGGTGAAGAGTGGGATTGGGGGCCTGCCCTTCTCTGGGGGGACCTGGAGGAGGGGGCTGGGCCTTGGCCCAGACACCTGGGTTCCTGCCAGGGATGGCAGCTGGAGCAGGATGGATGCTGGAGGTTGCTGATGGGTCTGCCTGCCTCCATTAACTGGAGACAACCCTGGGGACCAGGGTCGGGGTGGGTTAGCCTGGATGCCTGGGTTCTCTGCCAATCTGGAGGGCGATGGTCTCCGGGCCCCCACTCCTGACTCGCAGCTCTCCCATCACCCTGTAGTGCCCCTTGCTCCTCCGATCTGCAGCCCCCACAGCTTGGCATGGCCCTGTGGGCATCGGGTGGGGGGGAGGAGTCTCCCAGGAGCTGATTCGGACTCTGGGCTATGGGGGGGGAGGGGGCGATCTTTGCCTGGGTCCCTGGATGCTGAGTCACAGACCCCTCCCCACCATGGGGGCTGAGACCCTGGACGCCTGGGTTTCTGGGAGAGCAGGGGACTGGACGCCTGAGTTCCCTGGGAGGAGAGGCAGGGGTGAGGAGCTGGCTTAGGGATGCTCCGATGCCTGGCTTCCCTCTCCAGCTGCGGGAGGGGCCGGAGCTCAGATGCCTGGGTTCCCTCCCTCTCTCCTCCACCCTTGGATCCTGGCCCCGCCTCCACTCCCGGGACCCGGGGACACCGGAGCCGCAAGGGCTGGGCGGGGCCGCCGCAGCCGCCAGCACCGGAGCCGGGAGCTGTGGTAAGAGTCGGCCTGATCGGGGCCCCTGCGACAGCCGGATCGGGGCCCCTTCCTCAGCTCCACTCCTGCCCCTGGGGTAGAGAACCCAGGCGTCTGGGTCCCAGCAACCCCTCTCCCCACACCTCGTTCCCAGAGAACCCAGGCATCCGGGATGCCAGTGCCCCTCTCCCCGCCCTCTCCTATTGCTAGGAAAAGAACCCAGGTGTCTGGGCTTCCAGGTCTGCCCCCATTCCCCTTCAGTAGCTGGGAAAAGAACCCAGGGGTCTGGGCTCCTAGCACCCCCTCTCCCAGCCCCCACTGCCCTCCAGTTTCAGGGAGAGAACCCAGGGTCTGGGCTCCCAGCCCCCACCCTGCTGTCAACTACAGGCACCCCACTCCCTCATGTTTGCATCTCCCTGCCAGTGCTGCTGCCCTACAGTCCAGGGATTCACCGTCCCTCCCACACTCCAGGTTCCCAGCTCATCTCCCCAGTGTGGAACCTCTGAGACTTCTGGGTCCCTGGGACACCCCTAGACCCTTGACTCCTGGGTCTGTGAGGCCTTGCCCACCATTATCCCTAGACTCTTCGGTCCTTGATGACACCCACCCCCCTCAGCAATCCCCTGGACTCTTGGGTCCCTGAGAGCTCCCTATCTCCTCAATTCCCAGACTTCTGACGCTCCCTTTTCTTGCCCTGTAGGGTTCCTAAGCCACCCCCTAGCCCCTTCACGGACGCCTGGGTCCCCCCGGCATGGCAGCAGGAGTGGCAGCCTGGCTCCCCCTAGCCCGAGCAGCAGCTGTGGGCTGGCTCCCCCTGGCCCAGCAGCCCCTGCCCCCACCTCCTCCCCTGCCACCAGGCCATGGCCCCAATCCCCGGCCCACGGCAGGGCCTGAGCGCCTGGTGCTGAATGTAAGCGGACGGCGGTTTGAAACGTGGCGGGCCACGCTGGAGCGCTACCCAGACACGCTGCTGGGGGGCGCCGAGCGGGACTTCTTCTATGATGAGGAGGCTGGTGAGATCTTCCTGGACCGTGATCCTGAGGTCTTCCGCTATGTACTCAACTTCTACCGCACTGGGCACCTCCACTGCCCCCGACATGAATGCATCCAGGCCTATGACGAAGAGCTCAGCTTCTATGGCCTCGCCCCTGAGCTGGTGGGTGACTGCTGCCTGGAAGACTACCGTGACCGCAAGAAGGAGAACCTTGAGCGGCTGGCTGAGGTAGCGGGGCCACACAGGATACGGTGGGGGGGGTGTTGTTGGGAGAGGAGAAGGCTGAGGGGAGGCGTAGGAGAGGGCAAAGGCTGGATTTGTTAAGTCAAGACAGATAATTGACAATCTGCAAATTAATTTTTTTACTGATGTTATTTTTTTTTTACTGACAACCAAACTTAGAATCATAGAATAGTAGGACCAGAAGGGACCTGTAAGATCATCAAGTCTGCTCCTCTGCTATGGGCAGGGGGTAACTGGGTTCACATGAGCTTAGCAAGGTGATTGTCCAGCTCCTCTTGAACACCTCCAGGGATGGTGACTGCACCACCTCTGCTGGGAGTGTGTTCCAGATTCTAGATACCCTTATGGAAAATAAGTTTTTCTGTATGTCCAGCTAAATTTTCCCTCAACTAGCTTGCGCCCATTGGACCTTGTCTTCTCAAGGAGTGCCTTTCTGAAGAGCTGCTCCTCTAGATCTTGGTGTTCACCCCTGATGTACTTGTAGGCGGCTATCGAGTCACCTCTCAGTCTTCTCTTACTCAGACTGAGCAAACCCTGTTCCCAGAGTCTCTCCTCATAGGACCTATCCTCTAGGCCCCTGATCATATGGGGTGGTCCTTCTCTGTATTCTTTCAAGCTTATCCACATCCTTCCTGAAGTGCGGTGCCCGGAAATGGACCTAGTACTCCAGTGGTGACCTCACCAATGCCAAATAGAGGGGGAGGAGCACCTCTCTGGATCTATTGGCAATGCATCAGCTGATGCATGCCAGAGTTCTTATTTGCCCCACTGGCAACTTCATCACACTGACTCGTTCATCCTATGGTTGATTATCACCCCCAGGTCCCTTTCATATTCAGTGTTAGCCAGTAGACAACCACTCATCATATCGTTATGATAAAGGTTCTTCCTACCCAGATGAAGGACCCGGCACTTGTCCCAATTGTACCTCATCTAATTGCATTCAGCACATAGGACCAGCCTGTCAAGGTCATCCTGGATCCTTACGCTGTCCTCAGATGTGCCCACATTTTCCCACAGCTTGGTATCATCCGCAAACTTAATTAATGCGCTTTCCACTCCCTCATCTAAGTCATTGATAAAGATGTTAAAGAGCCTGGGCCCAAGCACTGATTCCTGGGGGACACCACTGGAGATGATCCTCCAGAATGAGGCCATCCCATTGATTATAACTCACTGGGATCAGTCTCTGAACCAGTTGCCAACCCACCTCCCTGTAGACTGGTCAGGGCCAGTACCCTCCAACTTAATTGAGAGAATCTCATGTGAAACAGTACCAAAGGCCTTGCTAAAGTCTACGTAGATGATGTCAACCTCATGTCCCATACCCAGCTAGTTAGTTACCTGGTCATAAAAGGATGCCAGGTTTGTTAGGCATGACCTCCCCTCGACAAAGCCGTGCTGGTTGTTTCTTAATATGCCACCAGTTACGTGGTTGTGGTTGATGGCCTCCTTGACAATTTTTTCAAAGATTTTTTTCCCAGGACCAAAGTCAGACTGACCAGACTGTCTATAGTTAGCAGGATAATCCTGCTTCCATTTCTTAAAGATGGGTATCACATTAGCCTTCTTCCAGTCATTTGCTCTTTGAACAGCCTTGCCAGAGGCACTGCAATGAGTTCAGCCAGTTCTTTCAGTATCCTTGGATGCAGGTCCAGATAACTTTTTTTATTGACAGACCACTTTATTTTACTGATGAACACTTTTTTTTTACTCACAAACCATTTAATTTTACAAATGAACATTTTTTTTACTGATGAACCATTTTCTTTACTGACAATCTTTTTACTGACAAATTTTTTTTTACAGACAACAAAGGTTTTTTACTGATGACCAGTTTTGTTTTTCCTATCACATTTTTTAAACTGATGCCAAATTTTATTAACTGACCAAACTTTTTTCCTGACTAGTTTTAAATGATAAAATCTTTTACTGATGACCCATGTTTTTACTGACAGTCACATTTTAATTGACAAAATTGTTTTTATTGACAATTAACACTTTTATACTGATGATCAAACTTTTTAGTGACACATTAGTGGCGTGTTTTCACAGACAATGTTTTTTACTAATGACTAAATTGTTTTTACCTTTTTTTTAAATCTGATGACCAAAGTTTTTTACTAACAACTGTTTTCTCTATTTATCTCGTTTTACTGACACATATTGTTTCTACCATGTTTTAACTGATTAATTTTTACTTACAAGATCATTTTTATCAGTGGTGAAACTTTTTATTGACAACCACTTATCTTACTGACCAACAAACTTTTTACTAACAACTATTGTACTGATGACCACACTTTTTACTCCACTCTCAAGGTTGTTTTTACTGATGAATTCTTTTTATCTATGACCATATTTTTCTTACCAATGACCAAACCTTTTACTGACAGAATTTTTTTTAGTGATGACCTATTTTTCTAGGGACTAGGGTTTTGCTGGGGATTTTTTTTTTGTTTTACTGATGACCAAGCTTGCTTAGTAATGACCTAACCTTTTTATTGACAAACACATTTTTTTTTTTTTTTACTGATGACTGAAACTTCTTGCTTGACATGTATTACACCACATCAATGTAACCTGTCTCCCAGGTCTTGGATAAGGGCCAAGTTCAAATGCAGGAGTTTGATATATCAACCCTAGACTCTAAGGGGGTGGGGAAGTAGGTTTGTTGTTTGGTCAGTAAAAAAACAAAAGTTTGTACAGTATAAGTAAATAAAAATTAGGGAGGGTGGCTTCTACTCAGCCCACACTCTGCCCCCAATCTACCCCCATCACCCCAGCGTGGATCTTTAGAGAAGCTTACCTGGGACTTGGCCATATTACAGGCAGCCAATGGGATGCAGCAGCAGTAGCAGCACATAGCTGGTGGGAGAGGGGAGGGCTCTGAGGTCCCTTTTGGCTCAGGATTTCTGTGGGAGATGCTGGCAGGGGTTACGAATGAGGGATAGATTTTTCTAAATGTCTCTGGATCAGGGCCCCTGGCTTGGAGAAAGTGCTGGTAACCACTAGGTGGGCAGGACTGAGACATGAATTCCAATTCCCTTGGGGGAGAGGGGGGAGGGGTTAGGCTTAGAACCTGTGGTTCCTGCTTCCCAGATGCCTTAGTTCCCTGTGTATTTGTGCATATATGTGTGTGTATCCATGTGTCCGTCTGTCCCCTGGACACCTCCATTCCCTGTGTGGGTTTGTGTCCTGGACGCTTTGTGTTTGGGTGTCCTGGATTCCTGCATTGACTGTGTTTCTGTCCCTCAGATGCCTGGATTCCCTGTCTGTCTGTCCTGGATGCATTGAGTATGTGTGTCTGTCTATCCCAGGAGTGAAAGTGAGTATACACACGTGTGCGCACATCCTGGGTTCCCTGTATGTAGGTGTGTTTGTCTGTCTTGGATGCCTGGGTTTTGTATGTGTGTCCATCCTGGACTTCTGGGGTTGTGTGTCTGTCTGCCTGTTCTGGATGCCTGGGTTCTCTGCGTGTGCATGTGGCTGTCTTATCTCTCCTGGATGCCTTGTGTAGGTGTGTCTGTCTATCCCAGAAGCCTGGTTCTGTATGTGTGTGTTTGTGTCCTGGATGCTTGGGTTCCCTGTGTGCACCCCAGATTTCTGGGATCCGCGTACATTTGTGTGTCCCAGATGCCTGGGTTCTGTGTGTGTGGACCAGATGCCCAACTTCCCCTTCTGCATCCCGGACACCTGGGTCCCCCCACACTGGCTCAGCTCTGACCCTTTCCTGTATCCCCCCTGCCCCCGAGGATGAGGAGGCCGAAGGCCTGGCAGAAGCAGCCTCACAACCCCCATCGGCAGCTTCTCCACCCCCCTCAGCTCGACAGCGCCTGTGGCGGGCCTTTGAGAACCCCCATGCCAGCACCACAGCCCTGGTCTTCTACTATGTCACTGGCTTCTTCATCGCTGTCTCTGTGGTGGCCAACGTGGTGGAGACCATCCCCTGCCGTGCCTCATCTGGCTCTTCCTCCTCCTCCTCCTTTTCCTCTGCTGCTGTGGCCCAGGCAGTGCCTTGTGGAGACCGCTACCCACTGGCTTTCTTCTGCATGGACACAGCTTGTGTGCTCATCTTCACGGGCGAGTACCTGCTGCGGTTGTTTGCGGCGCCCAGCCGGTGTCACTTTGCCCGCAGCGTGATGAGCGTCATCGATGTGGTGGCCATCCTCCCCTACTACATCAGCTTGGCCGTGCCAGACAACGAGGATCTGAGTGGGGCCTTTGTGACACTGCGGGTCTTCCGGGTCTTCCGCATCTTCAAGTTCTCACGCCACAGCCAGGGCCTGCGCATCCTGGGCTACACGCTGCAGAGCTGTGCCTCTGAGCTGGGCTTCCTGCTCTTCTCGCTTACCATGGCCATTGTCATCTTCGCCACTGTCATGTTCTATGCCGAGAAGAGCACACCCAGCACCAACTTCACCAGCATCCCCGCTGCTTTCTGGTACACCATTGTCACCATGACCACACTCGGGTGAGTGAGCAGGGAGGAAAAGGGACCCCAGGCATCTGGGAATTGTGGGGCGGGGGCTGCAGGTCGAGAGTGAAGGGCATCTGGGGCCTGGTCTAACATGGTTAGTCACCAAGAGTGTTGATTGCTGACTAAACTGCTGGGGGTGGGGAGTGGGAATGGGGACGGAGGGGCTGGGAGCCTGGACAACTGGGTTCCCTGGCAGGAGGGTGGGTGCAGGGAGCCCAGATACCTAGGTTCTGCAGTGAAGGCAACTCCCGGCTTCCTCCAGTGAAGTGGAAACAGAGCCATGAATATTTGATGTGGCTTCAAACTTGGCATCAGCCGCAGCTCCTCACCCCAGGGGCCCATCAGCCCATCCAGGGTGGCCTAAAATAGGCATTCTTGATGCTGCAGGGGGGTTGCAGCTTGGGAGTGAGGGGCACCATGGGGCTATAGGGTACACTGTGGGTCAGGAATGATGGGCACCAATATGGGGGAGCTGCATGTCAAGAGTGAGGGGCACTGTGTGGGTGGTTTTGGGTCGGGAGTGAGAGTCATTGTGTGACTTCTGCCTCCTCCTCCGTGATGATGATCCTTGTTGTCTGGCACGGCCAGGTATGGGGACATGGTGCCATCCACCATTGCAGGGAAGATCTTCGGCTCCATCTGCTCACTCTCAGGGGTGCTGGTAATTGCGCTGCCTGTCCCCGTCATCGTCTCCAACTTCAGCCGCATCTATCACCAGAACCAGCGTGCCGACAAGCGCCGTGCCCAGCAGGTGCCCAGGGGCAGGGCCAGGGCAAGGGGGTGGAGTTTGGGCTGCAGGCAGTGCTATGGGGAGGGATGGAGTTGGGAAGGATGGGGCAGGGCTATAGCAGGAGGGGCAGAAAGGGGCTGTGGCAGGGGCGGGCAATTATTTGGGCTGGGGAGCCACTTAGGGAGGTTCGCTGAGCTATTGTGGGCTGGGTTAGCATCCCCTCTCCCCCAACCTGTAACAACTCACCAAGACTCCAGACTACTTTATGGAACCGGCCTGGATCCCCAGTGGGTAGGGAGCTATGTCTGGGATAGGGAGAGATGGGAGGGGCCTAAGCGGCCCTCGTCCGAGGCTGGGACCATGGCGTGATGGCAGCATGGGACCAGGGCCCTGGGCAGAGCTGTAACCTGCTCCCTGAACGCCCCTGCTCATGGAAGTGGTGTTGGTCGTAGGGATGTGCGTGCACCAGCCCCATCTGTTCTGCTCCTGGACTCTGGTCCCTACCTGCAGCTCCATTCCATGTGCCTGGCTGAATGTGCCCTGGCTGTGGGGGTTCTGGGCTGCTCTCCATGGAGATCCCACCGCACCGCTGGCAGTGGATGCAGAGTGGATAGGCTGGGATGTCCAGGCAGTGGGGCCAGGTCTGGTGGCAGCAGTGTCACTAGCAGCTGGAAGGAGCCACTGCTGGGAAGTAGAATCTGGCTGCCGTGCTGCCCTAGCTCTGTTGGGTGTCTGGGGGTAGTGGCACTGGCCACTCGTACCACAGCTCAGGTTGCCCACCAAAGGCTGGGCTGAACAGGGCTGAGGGATCTGCTGTGAGTCAGGTAAAACTTCTTGGCAGGCTGGATCTTGCCTGTGGGCAAAATGCTGCCTACCCCTGAGCTATGGGGAGGTGGTAGTGGGGCCAAGGGAAGGGGCAGGACTATAGGGTGGGGGGGGCAGGGGCTGGTATTCAGAGAGAGCACAGAGCTATGGGGAGGAGGTGGAGTCAGGAGTGGAGGGGGCAGGGCTTATGGGGGGTGCACAGAGGAAGGCTTAGGGCATGGCCTCTGCCCATCACCCCCCCTCCCCCACAGAAGGTGCGCCTGGCCCGGATCCGGCTGGCCAAGAGCGGGACGACCAAAGCCTTCCTGCAGTACAAGCATAGCAACGACCTTGAGGTGTGCACAGCTTTGCATGGTGCTGGGACCCTGTTATGCAGACTTTGCCCAGGGAATGGGACCTCTTGGATTGGGAACTGGGGCCCTGGCATGGGGAATGGGGATCCCTTGCACAGCCTCGCACGAGGGAAATGGGGCTCCTCACAGAGGCTTGCACATGACCGTGGGATCCCTTTGCACGGGGAACAGGAGTTCTTTGCACAGCCTCACATAGGGAACGGGGCTCCTCGCACAAGCCTCACACAGGAAAACAGGATCCCTTGCACACCCTTTTCACCAGCACCCCAGTCCCTCCTCCCACTTCTACCTTATGGGGGGTATCCATCTGTCCGTCCTCTTCCCCACCCCCAGGAGCTGGACGGCCACCCCCAGGCCCCTGGGCTACGGACCTGTTCGACTTTCGAGTTGCAGCACCATCACCTGCTTCACTGCCTGGAGAAGACCACGGTGAGCTAGGAAGTGGGCACTGGAAGGTTAAAAGTGGGGACTGGGAATCTAGTGGTGGGGACTGGGAAGGTACTGGGAGGCCAATGGGGATACTGTGATGGACTGGGAGGCTAGTGGGGGGCAATGTAAGCTTGCCATGGTGGGGGAGCTTTTGGGGGCAGGGTCTGGGTGGGCAGGGTCTGTGGGGCTATGGCTT